CATATTTGACCCATTGGTCATTGCCAAAACTTCTTGCCAAACAAAGACTCTTCTAAAGTATCTAAAATTTTATTTGCTAAACAGACCCCAGTGTGGTTTTCATTAAGAGGTACAAATTAATTAATATTTTTTTCACTCTCCAATTATCATCAATTCAATGAGCTGTAATGCCTAGACACCCTTAATTTGTAGTTGCTAAATTCCAGGCATTTGTTGTGAAAGGTATCTTATGTGAAAAATCACTAAACATTTTTTTAATAACAATTTTTTTGTTTTTAAAAACTGATTCAATCCAACTTGAAATCGGTCGATTTATGATGTGAATCAAGTTCAGATATCAAATAAATGAAACATTTACACCGTTGAGACTTATTTATTGATTTGTAAGTAACAACAATAGTAATTGATTAATCAATTATTGAGCTAAAGCAAAAACAACTGAGTAATAAAATTTTTTTGTCATTTGTTTGTTGGGTGATTTATGACAAGATTTTAGAAACTTTGAAGCTTTGGATTTATAAAAACAATAAACGCCAACAATTTCTGCATTTTTTAAGGATCTGTTAAAGCCAATTATTTCTATAGTATTTTCTATAGTGGAAATCATTATTTTAGTACTTTGATATTAGCATGGATGAATATATGATTTTATATTGCCAGAACCATATTAGTTTATTGGATAAGACAAAAGGATAAACGAAACCATCAAAATAATGATTTTTACATAAGAAGAAACGGTCCACACAGATAATTTATTAATCTTTTTTGAGGGAGGAGGATACAATATTTAGTGTTAGTAATAGTAAATTAGTCTTCTAATGTTTATTTGTTAAAGTAATTAATATGGTGCTTTATTAACATATTTCCTTTATCTAAATATTTTTACAACAAACACATATTCATAAAACTATTTTGCTATTCTTGTTATTTATTGTTTCTATCATTAATTCAATGTTCATGTTTATTTCCTCGTGCTGATTCTGATTTGCAATTCCTTACTTTGTATATTGATGTTGAACCTTGTTGAAGGCTTCTTAGTAATTACCTCGAATTTATATTTATTATATAACATAGCAACCAACATTTTGAGTTGGATCATTGCCATATGCCTACCTGGGCATACACGCAATCCACCACCAAAAAGCACGAATGCGTTTTTATTGTAGCTTTCTTTTTCATTGTTGTTACTACTTGCCAAAAACCTCGAGGGATTAAATTTCGTAGGCTCTTCCCAATATTTTGGATTCATTTGCAGTCCCATAAGATTGATTGCTAATTGTGTTGATGCTGGAATTGTGTACTCGTCAATTTGATCGGAATTTGCCGAGAAACGTGAAATCGTTGCTGTAGCTGGCCTGACTCTCAGCACTAAGAAAATATCATCACATGATTGAATAAAATTTAATCGATATGATTATAAAAAGATTTTGAGGAATGGTTACCTTCTTTTATCACAGCTTCGATATACTCAAGTTTATTTAAATCTTCATGGGTGATGTTTGAATCAGATTTATTACCAAGTACGGTTTCAATTTCCTCAATAATACGTTGTTCGACATCCGGGTTATTTCCAACACAATAAAGAATAGATCCTAAAGCATTCGAAGGCTTTAAGAAAATATTATTAGTAACAGCTTAGTCGTATAGAAAAATTATGTATTTAATATTAATACATACGCTATCAATTCCTTCACTAATTATTTCAATCATAGTATCTCCAACTTCTTGATCAGTCATAGGTTTCTCATTATCATCATTCGATATACCTTGAGTGATATCCTTTGGTGTGTTAACCGTCAGTAACATATTTAACAGGTCACGTGATAATTTTTCACTGTTATCGATATTTTCGATTTCTTTTCTACGTTCTTTAGCCAATTCGCATCCATATTTTCTTGTCCACATTACATTATCGTACAAATATTTTGTATAAGTGTTTACGATTGGAAGATTACGTATTAAGGGTGGAACTAACAGATAGAATTGTACACAATCAGATGCGATAACAAAACGTTCCAAAAATTCTTCATTTGAATCTCTTTTAATATTGTCATCAAGATTTTTATTTGTGATTCTGTTGTAGTATGATGATAATAAATTGGGTTTTCGGCTGGTTGTCATCAACATTATAGATTCTGCAAAAATTATTTTCGTCCAAGGCATAAAATCAATCGTCACCGATTTTTTTTGCTTTTTATGACAAATTTGACCTTTTTTTTCAATCAAACTATCCCACAACTTCTCCAAATCCTGAAAAATATCATTGGCTAACTTTTCAGAAAATCTTAAAGCATTGGGTGACGATATAATCCTAAAGACAATTTTCCTGATATGTGACCAAGAATTGAAATCCACATTAAATAACGTTCCATTGCTGCCCATATCTAACTCATCTAATCCTATTTTGGTCTTAAAACGCATAAAGTAGTTGCCATCCTTTGCTGGACTCATCACTCGTTCAACCACCCGAGAATCATTTATCATCAATTGCTTGTTGGGCCCGAAATACATTTCAAATACACCTCCATATTTTAAACTCAATCGATAAAGCCAGGATGGTATATCATCCCTATGATAAAAGTACTGATGAAGGTTACCTATAATAGGTAATGGAAGTGGACCCGGATATGGAATTGGACGAGTGAAATAATCATAATAAAATTTTAGTATAGATAATAAAATAATGCAAGCTGAGAGTTCTAAAATTGTTAAAACTGTCAAATATTCTTTGAAAAACGACATTTTCAAAATACTTCAATTTGAAGATGAGGAAATAAACGATATACTTATCTATATTTGAAGTTGCACGATTACGAAACCTGTGTTACCAAATTAGTGTTGACAGGTGACTACAGTAAAACAAACATATGATAAAAGAGGAAATTGATTTTATTTAACGCAGCTTCATGGAAGATAAGTTTTATTTATCCACATAATAAAGCAAGATTGCTGATAAATGCGATGATTTTGATTGATTACGCCAAAAATAATAATTAATTAATTTAATCCTTCTTTCTTTCTTTCTTTCTTATAACAAGAAAAAATACTTGACATTATAGTGTAACAACAGATTACTAAATCCAAGCAATGGATTGATTATAGAATGGGAATTTATTGTGGTTTTTAATACAATTCATTTTCAGGCCGACCTATAAACAAGTTTTTCAGAAAGTGTATTAGTATTATTAGTATGGTTTTTCATACATTTTCCGTATATTCCGTATGGGATATGTACTAGTACGGAATTATACATTAACATGAAAATAGCGCTTTTCCGTATAGATTTATCCTGAAAATTAAATGACCTGAAAATACATTCCGTGCATTTTCTGCATACATTTTCTGCATACATTTTCTGCATACATTTTCTGGATACATTTTTATTATTGGTACACAACAAATTACACTATTTTCAAAAATTGCGTTTGTTTACATATATCAAGTTGTAGTGTATAATTTTCTTTTGGACAGTGAACTCCAGAATTTAACATGATAAATTTAATGGTATTTCAATTCCATATAATTGATAGCAGCTGAAAATAGTATCTGAAAAAAAAAAGGAAATTGCCAAAGATTTTCGGAAGAAATTTTTTCATTTGTACATTGTCTACCAAATCTTCCCAGGGTAAGTTTCATAATAATAAAAAGTCCACCAAATCTTCCCACCGTCTATGGTGTGACAAAAATACTATAGAAATAGTCAAATAACTGATCTATAAACGTAAATATAAAAAAATATATATATATATACATACATACATATTTATAAAAATGAACCAAATTCAAGTCTAAGTATTTTAAACAAAACTGACAACTTCTAGCTTCTTAATCTAATATTTTTATTTTTTATTTTAAATCAGAATCAAATTATAAATGCAATCTGTGTCAACATTATGAAATTATATATGGTTTATGGAGTGTTACTATTACAAAAAATAGAAGAGGATGAAGAGGATGAAGAGGATGGATGAAATTTATTCTAGTTTATCATGAAGCTGTATTTGTTCAAATATTTAACAAGTGTTGATAGGTGATATATATGTGTTTTTAAAGAAGTAGCAAAGAAAATTTTAAATGAATGTTTGGGGTCAGAAGAATGTGCCATTAAATATTATTTATGAGAATAATAAAACTATTTTCTTACATATTGTATATGTACATGATCAGAAGGTAGAGGGGATGTAGAAGAAAATAAAATTGTAGATGGTAGAGGAAAATAAGTTGAACGTTATGTTTAAATAGATTTAGGTAACAATAATAATTTATAATATTCTTCTAATAAAAATTTTACATAATTTTTCATCAAATTATACTAATTATACTTAATGATTATTACTATAGGATAAAAATACATAATTCTTGCTGATTACAATTAGGGTCTTCCTTTATTATTATAATAAGAACTAACAAACTATGCTTCGCGTCACAAACTATATGTCTTGTATCACGAATTATGCTTTGAATCACGAATTATTATTATGCCCCGTGTCATGAATTATTGCTTCAGAAGGCCCTATATTTCATATGATTACTACTTGGGGCGTTGATTAAATGCCAAGGTTTTCTTTAATTCTTGAATTTTATTGGCTGTAATGCAATTCCAATGCGCATAAACTATTGGAAGGGCTGTGATCTCCAAACCTTCCATTAGAACTTCCGATTCCGATGCACATCACTGCGTATATACACTCTTAATAATAATAATATTAAGGAATCAAACATTTATTGTATGACACAATTTTCACTAAATAGGGCGAAAATGCGGGGCACATACACAAAAAGAAATAATTAGTATTTTAGAAAGGGATTATGACACTTTTTGATTTGCATTTCACCCAATAAAAATATTATTTTGAACCATGTTTGTGTTTATTAATTATACATGCCTATCTGCGAAGTGACATTTAAAATCTGTTATTATTATAGGAATTAACTAATCGTGATTCGATGAATTTATGTGTGAAATGAAATTCTTAAAAATTCGTTACGATGTGAATTTAATTATGATTCTTTTAAAAAAGTTTTCTGAAGCAAGATTAGATGTTATTCTCAGATGGTGTTTGTACTCATAAAATAATGATAATTATAATAGAAAATGTCCGGGTACAGTGAATACCGCGAGTACAAAGTGATATTGACCTATCATCAAAATTGTTAATTTTATTTATTTCTCAGTTTCTCAGTTTCTCATTTAAGGAAGAACAAAATCTTGTTTATTATTTAACTAATTTTAATTAACTAAAACACATTCCAATTTAATAATAATACAATAAAAATAAAAATTACTTGTCACGTGAGGCAAAAATTCGTTAATTCGTTGAAACTGTAATTATGAATAAATATGGTTAATGACTTAAATTATTATTCGTAAAATTAGAGTTGACATATTAAAAACCAGTTTAGAAATGCAAAATAATGTAGAAGTTGTACTTACTGAATATTCATTCATTCTACATTAATATTCATTCAATCAATCAACTTTAATATCCGAATAATCATTCAGATATTCATTTGATCACATTAAATTAGCTATTCAATGAATAATTGTTCATTTATTATTTGAATGTTCATTGTTAATATGCATAAAGGGTGTTATAATTGTGTTTTTAATAATGTACTTTTGACTTTTGCACTTTTGACATTGTAATAATTTAGACTTTTGACATCAGCAAAACACTTTGGGATGCATGTATGATTTTTAACAATAAATTTTTAAATTTATTAATCATGTTACATTCTATCAAAATTATCAATATTTTTTTTCAAAAAAACAAAATCTTTTCAAATAAAAGTGGATTAAGTTTTGTTCTTTTAAGGTTATTGTATTTCCAGCTTGACAAAATAACCTCTCACACATAAGTATTTAGGAAATCTATTTTTATCCACAAGGATCATCCGACCTGACTTCTTAGAACCACCTTTTACTTTGCTTTTCTTCAAAATATGTGCAGCAGAAGACTCTCCTATTATAGTGATTCTTCCATTTTAAATGAATGGAAGTGAAATAATTAATTCAATTAATTAGAAATGAACAGAAGAAATTTAAGAAAATTGCAATTACACAAGTTATTTTTAATTTATATTAATCGCGTTACAACTAATTTTTAAAAATTTTACTTCACATATATAAACATATAAACGCGATAAGTGATTCTGGTATAATAGTAATTGAATGTCTCCCCATAGATTCGTTTTTTCATAAACTATTCGTCATACATTACTCGTAAATATCCAAATACTTGTGCAGATCACTCATGAGTACTCATGAGTATGAGTATAATCTGAATATTTGTGTGTGCGTGTGTAACAGGATATTCATGTACACATAATCAAAAATATATTGATCACCTGATTTTGATTGGTGTAACGTAACCCACGAAGCTCACTTCAAAAATTTCATTGTGAAAAGTGTGTATATTGTCAATAAATATAATAATAAATAGAAATTAAAAATGGCAAAAAAACGTTAATAATTAAAATTCGTTATTTTTGTATAATAATAATTATTTTACCCAAATCGCGATTTTATATGTTTAAAAAAGGCAAGATCTGTATAAACCATTTCAGGCATGTGATGATATGTATTAGTATGTGCTAACATATTACTAATACTAATACTAAAAAAGATCGTTTTTCTTTAAAGAAAAATCTATCTACAACCCGATAAGCTGGACTCCAATCAATTGTTTAATGTTGAAGAGTACTTGATAATGACAGTTTATTGCCTAAATTTGTCAAATTTGTCGTAATTACATCATCAAATCTAAAAAAAACAACAATTATGTACCATGTTTTTCTAGAAAATTAGATCAATACATTTTTATTGTAATGAATCTTTTCCCCCCAAAAAATTTTTTTTGCAATGTTTATAAAATAGCGTTGAATTTATTATTAAACACTCTGATAAAGAAAACATAAATATATTACATATCGTTTTCTGCTTTTTAACACGATATATTCCGAACTTATAAATACGATATATTCCGAATTTAAAAAACACGAAAATTATTATTTTCTGAGTGAAAAAAATAATATTTATATAATATAATGGCTGGAATGGCAATTAATTTAATTCGTTTAGATGAGGTGTCAATCGTTGCAGCTATTCTTGGAAGTTTTATTATTTGCTTTGGACTTGTTTCATTCTTTGTTAAAGAAAAATTATATTTATCAGAAGCATGTAAGAAATACATTATTTAAAGTTTATTATTTATCATTTATTTGTGTATTTATTTATTTTCTTAATTTGATTTATTAGTTGTTGCTGTGTTTGTTGGTATAATTCTTGGACCTGCAGCGTTAAAAATATTTGATCCTAACAAGTGGGAAAACACTGATGAAGTAACACTTGGTTTTACTCGAATAGCTATTTCGATTCAAGTAACTATTAATAATTATATTCTTATTTTTGTTATATTATTATTTTAATGATTATTATTAATTAATATTTATTTAATAAGGTAATGTTTTCTGGTGTGGCATTACCAAAGTAATTTCCAAGTTACATTCATTACTTAAAAGCTGATTCAACAGCAATCTATTTCAATTAATTACTAATTATGTATTGTATCCTCTTTCGAAGAGCTTACCTTTTCAAAGAAATGAAATCATTGTTTGTGTTACTTACACTTGTTATGACTTATATGTGGCTTGTCAGTGGCCTATTAATTTGGGGATTAATACCAAATCTTTCATTTGTAAGTTTTATTTTAATTGATTGCTGGCTTTTTTATTTGTTTTTCTTTGTATCGAATTTGTTTATTTATTTATTTTTTTTCTATAGTTGGAATCTTTGGCAATTGCTGTTTGTGTAACACCTACAGATCCAGTATGTAAAAGATGATCTTTATATATAATTAAAAAATCTTATAGAAAAAATTTAAATGATAATTTTTTATCTGTTTTAGATTTTAGCAAATTCAGTTGTTAAGGGTAGATTTGCAGAAAAACATGTCCCAATACATGTAAGAAATATTTTATCAGCTGAAAGGTAAAAATAAAATCTATTGTTATTACCATTATCTTATTATTATCACCATTATTTTATTAATTATTCAATATTCTTGTGTTTTGAACAGTGCATCTAATGATGGACTTTCATACCCATTTTTCTACTTGGTTATCTTTTTATTGAATGAACCATCTGTCGGGACTGCGATTGGTAAATGGATTCTATTGGCATGTCTTTATCAAGTTGCATTAAGTATTGTTATAGGAATAGTTGTAGGGTATAGTGCAAAAAAATTATTATATTTTTCTGAAAAAAGGTGGGAAAAAATTTTGTCTTTTAATTATTTAAAAATTGAATTAAAAAATATAAATTCATAATTTACACTTGTTTCAAAAATATTTTATAGACAATTAATTGACAAACAATCATTTTTAGTATTCGCAATAGCTTTAGCTGTAAGTTCCATTAAAAAATATTTAGCAAAATAATCATCAGCATTTATCATTTAAACAATTAATTGATCAATTATTATTTAGTTTTTTGTGATGGGTTTTGTTTCAATAATTGGCAGCAATGAATTTTTAGCTTGTTTTGTTGCTGGTGCAGTATTTTCATGGGAGTAAGTATTATTAATTATTAGTTATACTTATACAAGTATGGTTATATTGTCATTAATAACTTGTTATCTTTATTAGTGATTGGTTTAGAAGAGAGACAGAAGAAGCACATTTACAAGAAGTTATTGATATGTTGCTTAATTTAGCAATTTTTGTTTACATTGGTGCAATTATACCTTGGTCAACATTTGTTGGTGGCATAACTGAAATAACATTATGGAGATTATTTGTATGTTCAATATTGATCCTGTTGTTTCGTAGATTACCTGCTATTGTAGCATTGATGCATATTATACCTGCAATTAAAACTTATCGTGAAGCTGTTTTCACTGGATGGTTTGGTAATTATTATTGTTTATTATTGTTGTTGTTGTTGTTTATGTGCGTGTGTTTGTATATATTATGTAAACTTTTTACTAATAAATTAATTTTCCCAATTTCATATTTTTTTTATAGGACCAATTGGCATAGGTGCAATTCATTATGCTATAAAAGTTAAAAATGAGATTTCACCTGAGGGAAAAGATTCACTTCTAAAAGATTCAGTTGAACCAGGTAAAAAATTTAATTTTTTTATCAAATAAAATATTTATAAATATTATAAAAAGTATTTATAGCATCAAAAATTTATTTATTTTTTAGTTATTTATTTTTTGGTTCTTAGCTCATTACTTGTTCATGGCATAACTATCCGTAAGTAATTGAACTAGCTTATCCAGACCTAATTTAAATTTATTTTGATCCAATTTATTTATTAATATATACTTTTATACAGCTTTAGTAAAAATTTCAAAAAGGTAAAAAAAATGATTTAAAATTTTATTTTGTCAAATTAGCCGATATATATATATTAGATTTATTAATACATAAAACACAAATTTTAACATATAGAATAAATACAAGAACACTAACTACTGGATCATTAAATAATCAAGTTTCAAGGTATGAATTAAAAATAGCTATTACAATAATAATTGTAATAACAATAAAATTCACATTATTCAACATTTTATTAATTGTTATTAGATTACCTGTTATTAACTTTGGAACCCAGATATTATTCAAAAATACCAAAACAAATGAACAAGAATCATCAAATGATTCAGCCACAATCTCAGTTGATACAAATTTAGATCAAGATGAAGAACAGCAAGTTGAAGAAGATAATAAAAATCAATCACAAATAGATGATGATAAAAATGTGAAGAAGGAGAAGGAGAAGGAGAAGGATAGTGATGATGAATGTATAATTTGGGATGAAAAAAATAACTATGTCATAGAAAATCATGACGATGATGATGTTCAAGTCATAACACATGCATCAACTTCTACATCAGCTATTGATAATAACAATCACCTTAATAAATCTAATGAATTGAAAAAATAATACATCAAAAAAATTAAAACAATAATATCAATTGAATTGAATGTCAATAAGACCCTGAAAACTGTTGTCCCAATTGTTGAGTGCGATTTATGAAAAGCTTGCTTTTTTGGTAGCATGATCAGTTATATATGTTTCTTAACTTATGAGCATAAGTTATGGCTAATAAAAATAAAAGACAATGATTCAAACATGAATAATGTACGTTCAAGTAAGCTATTATTTAATATGTTTAATATGGTGCCCAAATAATTTTTTTTATTTTTTAAATTTTTTTTGTAGTCAATATTTTTGAAACATATCACGTGACACAATCCTTTTTTTGAGTAACTATACTCGTAATTATTTCAGATATTTCAGATATTTGTATAAATTCTAACAAACTATTATTAATTTTTTCTGTTCTTTAATTGATAAAGTTTCTTTTTGGACATCATCAATTTGAAGCTACATATATCAAAAAATTATTTAATAAAATTATATCATCATACAAATCAAAAAAATTACTATCAGGCGTAAGAATATTATGACATTTTAAAAATGATTTATTTATATAATTGGTAGTTCCTGAAGTATTAGGAAAAAATTTTCTGCAAATTCCATTTGGCTTTTGAAAGAATTACTTTTTAAATGAAAATGTTTTCTGAACAAATATTGTATTGTTGTAAAATATTGAAAAATGTTATATACAGCAGAACCTGTCTAAAAGCATACCGTATATAAACATAACCTGCCTAAAAGCATAGAATTTTCTCAGCCCGAGTTAGGCCATATGTGTTATAAGCATACTGCATATTGTATATTAATATGGGGCATGCTGTAACAAAGTGAAATTTGTATTACCAAGTTCAATTGTGTTTGTTTAACATCACAATTGTATTACCAATATAATGTGATCACGATTTTTACTTAGGATTATCTCTTGACAAAAATAGTTAATTTACATCAGTCCCACAGTGCGGATCATCTATACTCAAAAGTTAAAATTTTTGAAATATTATGTGATCCACACATTGGATTTTAAAAAACCCACCACC